CTTTCATTGATATGTTTCTGTTTTGTTATCAGGATGATACTAGCTTCATAGAATGAGTTTGGCCAAGAAGCACAATAACGATTATATAATGTCATTAGCCACTGGGAAAATGCAAATTAATACCACACTGAATATTTTACATCCACTAGGATAGGTATAACAACAAAGGAGTAACAAATGCTGGTAAGGGCCTGCAGAAAGTAAAACTGTCATACATTTTTGGAGGGAATATGAAATGGTGCAGCTGTCATATAAAGCAGTCTAACAGTTTCTAAAAAGATTAATAGTGAATTATGATATGGCCTAGGAATTCTAATGAGAGGTGTGTACCCCTCAAATTGAAAATAACTGTTAAAAATACTTATACACAAGTGTCCATAGTGGTACTATTCATAGTAGCGAAATAGATGGATATAGCCCAAATACCCACTAATTAATGTATAAATAAGATGTATTACATTGATATAATGAAACATAATCAACCATAAAAAGATGTTCTGATGTAGCCACTTTGTGGATAAACCTTGAAAACATTATGCTAAATGAGAGGAACCACAGAGAAAAAAATGAAATATTTTGTCATTCCCTTTATAAGGAATATTCAAACTACATAAATCCAAAGATTTGAAGGCAGATTGGTGTTTCCCAAGATCTATGGGAGGTGGGAATGGGGAATGATTGCTTAATGAACTTGGATTTGTCTTTTGTGATAATGAAATTAGTTTGAAACTTGATAGAGGTACTTCTTCTGTAACATTGAGAATGTACTAAATGCTAGTGGACTGCAGACCAGGACTTATGGGCTTGGAGTATAGCTCAGTGGTGGAGTACTTACCTAGCATTCATGAGGCTCTGGGTTTGATCCCCAGCAATGGCAAAATTCCAAACCAGGAGTTTTCATTTCCTGAGAATTAAACATGTACTACACACTATTGATTGGAACTTTCATGGTTTTGGCAAAGACTGAGCATGTTAAAAAAATCAAAGAATGTGCTCTGCAAACTCTTCTGCCTCCAGGCTTCTACTGTTTTTCTCCCTATAAAAGTCCTTTTGAAAGTCCTTTGGAAGAATTCTAGCTGTATTCTGAATAAATTAAGGGAAGTAGTCTACACAATTTCTTTTTCCTGGGAGAAGAACAAGAACCAATAATCCAGGAAGCCATATCCAGCTTGAACTAAATGACATTTGGAACTGTGGGGGAGAAAGCAGTTGTGATAATTGCTCTCTTAATTCTGGAGGTTCTTTCAGATTTTCCCTAAAAATGAATCATTAGCTCTGGAGGAATATTTCTTTCTAGGGATGTGGTTGAGCCCTGCTAAAAACCAACTTTCTTTCTGAGCTGTATAAGAAATGTAAGAAAATATTTAATGGACATGTATTTCATTATCATCATGGCAAAATTCTTCTCAAGTTTTTCTTCACTTTTTTTCTTAGTAAACTGTAAGCATTATGAGGCCTGCTTTTTAATGCTGTGTAATACAATCATCGTGTTTTGTTTTAAAAAAATGTAAGTCTTAAAGAAAAATCTCTAGGTAGAGATTCTTAGAACAATGGAGATTTCCTCTGTCCCTTATATTAACAGAGAAATTTGTCTGACTAGAAAAATGTCAAGAATGGCAACAATGAATATTATTCTTATTTCTATGATCCAATCTATGAATATTTATAAGGATTAAGTTTTTCTGGTCCCTGTTAACATAAATTCTAAGGCAAGAAATCTGGAAATATTGAAAAATGAAATAAGGCAAAAAAATATTTATCTTTGTCTCAAAACCATGACCTCACTGTTGGATTGGCATCAGGACAAGGACTGAGATTTTTGTAAAAAGTGTGATATGACAATTTTTGCTAAAACCTCAAAAAATATCAAAACATCAGAGTAATCTGGTACCCAAAGAACTCTTTTAAGAGAATAAGAGTTTTGCACTGTGCTATCAATCAAGCCAGAAGTTCTGGAGGAAACTTTAGGACACCATCCTATACAAAAACAAGCATGAGGCCAGTATATAGGAGAGTTTATCTGAAAATCACCTACGGATGTGGCTTTTGTCTCATAGAATGAGGCTCCAATTAAATATATCAGAAGTTCTTGAGAATACTAGTGTAAGGGGACAGATAGATGAGAATGGTGACAAAACCAGCTTAAAAGTATAATTCAATAAAATGGGACCATGTTGCTGACCCCCATACATGCTTTCTTATCCAAAAAGCAATCTTCCTGAAGCTTCACTTGGCCTGAGTAGACAGAATATGTCACATGATCAGCAAACTGAGTTAGGGGACAAAGGTCAGGCAGTCAGTACAGGTAATGAATGATGGGGGTCCAGAGAGGATGAGACTGATTAAAAAACAGAGGACAATGGGTTGTTAACCTCTGCTATCATGCTCCTGGGCACTCAGGATTGTTAACCAGAAGCTCCAAATTCCCTGCTCCGAGGCACATACATGGAGAAGAAAGAAGATGTTTTGAGACCCATAAGAGAACAAGATGCACCCCCTCCTACAGAAACCTCACTCTAGGGCCACTTCTCTTAGAAATTTGTCTCTATCACATTCTTAAATAAAACTTGCTTTCTACACTTGCCTTGGCATTTTTTTTTTGGGGGGGGGGGAAGGGTTTAGTCTTCAACACCAGGGAAAAAGGACCTGTTTCTGATCTCCAAGACACATATCATTCGTACAACAGAGAGCCTACCAGCTTGAACAGAAAGATATACAGTGAGTACAAAATAAAAACAGGCTGCTATGTCCCCTCACCTCCATCACCAAATTCTGCTGTCAGGAAGCAAGTTGATAAAAATGCTCACCTCTGAACATTAACTACTATATAAAAAAAGGAAGGATGACTCAGGGCAGGACCAAGAGCCCAGGGAGCAGAAGCCGAAGCCATTATTTCCCTCAGATCTGGAAACTTAATCAAGGAACCTCAACTGCAGTTTTTAGAACCACCTTGGTCTGTTGTTACATCTCTCTGTCTACCCCATTTCACAACTTCTTGTCCCCTTACTGCCAAGAGCCTGTCTTCAGGTTGCTCCAGAGAAAAGTGCACCACCAAGAGCAGCTTCCTTCCCCAATTGTGAGAGGCAGAGGTTTCACAGTTGCAGTCAGTTTGGGTTTCTTTATTAAGAGAAGGAACTGAACTTAACCTCAGAGCAGGACTCCTCCCAGTTCTCCTTCCTGTTGTGGGAGATATTCTTATTTACATTCATTTCTTTAGTTTCAGACAAAGAGTATGAAATATATGAATGTTCAAGCAATGTGTGATATCTGAATAAGGAACATAGTGTATCTGAACTGTTTTCCTCAGGAATGATGATGGCTATTCCAATTAATTGACATGAAGAACACAGGGGGTATAAGGCTGGTGACCTAGTGTCTTACCAGTAAGACTGATCTTCTCTCTTTCAGTGGGAGCATAGGCATTTTTTTTTATGAACAAGAGTTTTAGTATTAGTCAAAAGTTTGATCTCAGAATCCAACATTTACTACAGAGAGAGATTAAAATACTTTAACATCTCACTTTAAATACATTTCTGTGGTATAGTTTAAGTTGGCTATTCAGAGAGACTGCTAACTTGTTAGACAAAGGAAGGCTCTTGTGTTCAAAAAAAATCTATACCAGCCCTAGTAAAGTACACATGCATGCAGGTAGAGGCTTTTCTATTTGATATTCGTTTCCTAACTAGGAAAGGTCTTTTCAAGACATTGCGATACCTTGCCAAGAGAGAGGTTACCCCAGTTGGCTGCTACCAAGGAAACTTCACCTGCATGAAAAGACAACACTGTGCTCCTGGTCCCTGTCCTTCTAGTGCTTGTCCCACCCTCCTCCCAGAAACCCAGCACCTATACCCTAGCTTAGCTCTGCATAAAGTTCACCCATCATGCCCTCTTTGAGTCTCATCCTTTGGTATGAATTTCATGCTTAAGTACATTAAAAAATTTGTAGGCATGTTTTCCCTCACAGTATGTATGTTGTGAGTTCATTTTGATGACTAAACTTATTAAAACCTTTGGAGGAAAAAGAGTAAATTTAAAGCTACATTATCCCTACATTATATGTATATAGGAGAGGCAGAAGAATAATTAGAAGATAATAATGTAGTAGAATGATGAGAAGCAGCTAAATGGTAGGTTAATTTTTTAGCAGCAGTACTATTATCTAACTCAATAATAGCCATGAGGACTAAAGGAGATGACATAGGTGACTCTCACCTAATGCTTGGCCTGAAGAACATGTTCAAATATAATTTTTTTTTTCTCCCCAGCACATAACTGACTTGAAAGATCAGATGTGTCAGAAAAGGAGGGATTGTGGGGAATCCCCTCGGCCACAATATTCTAAGAGTTTAATTTGAACCTTTAAGACTTTCCCTGTGATTGCCAGCATCTTAGAATTTTTAGAGATTAGGAAATGTCATTCCCTGAAAATGGATTATTTTGGCATGCTGAGCAATTTGATGTAAATAATCCATTTCAGGGAATGACATTCCCTAAACCCTACCAATAATCCATTTTCAGGGAATGATATTTTCAGGGAATGGCTTCTTTTTAATCTGCATTAATACCAGACTGCAAAAGGGAACAATGGCATTTTATCCTCACCCTGAATTCCCAGTATCAATCTCAAATAGAGGACTGAGAAATAAAACTACATTTGCATGAACTTTTCTTACCACATTCTGTCCCTTGGGCTCATTCAAAATTCAGAGACTGTCTTGGAGACCACCTTCTCCACTAAGAATAATTTCTAAGTCCTCAAAATTATCTACCTATCTCAACCCTACCTCATAGAAAAGGGATATGTAAGTTTGTGCATAATGTTAAATAGGTAGTTAATCATATTCCTGTGATTGTCCCCATGCTGTGGTTTTGCCATTTTGCATGAAAATAAATATATATAACTTTTCTCCTATTTGATGTTTGTTTGTTGCATTCCAGTGGCCCTTGGGAGGTCAGAGAGTAATTTTCCCATTGCCTCCACATAGCTCTTGGGGGATTACCTTGTTCTCTTGTGCCGAGGCTTGTACTGGGGCCTGTGTTCTCTGTTGCTGTGCTAGGAGTCCACAGTGATAAGCCCATGTCTGACCTTCCTGAGATTTCTTCACAGTGAGCGCACACTGCCTGTGTATTGTAGAATCTCCAAAAGTGTTGTATCAATCGATGAAGTTAGTAAGCCCTCCATTCCATATTTTGGCTGTGTCCTGTAATACTGGCCCACCCACAATGCTGAAAACAGACTTTCGGTTTCATTTACAAGTCTCATCTCAATTCCAGGAAATGATTATTTTAAGCAAGCATTCCTGCGCCCCTCCCCTGACTCAGGCAATGGCAAGGCCCTACTGAGGTAGATGGCGCAAGGCGTCCATCCTCTGGAGGAGCGCAGTATGTTTCTGGGAATGGGCTGGTTTGTTTTTGTATTCATTTAATAAGTATAGTTGAGATTTCTCATAAGGCCATGAAGTATGAAGGAAAAAACATGACTTTCCCAATTAATGCAACTACTTCTAAAGAATAGATCTGTTTGCTGTAAATGCAATGATTCAGCTGTGGACCATAAATTGTTAACGTTTAATTAAAAAACCCCTGTAGGAAAAACAGTCAAGGAAGTTTTTGAGAAATTAAATTAAAATCTAGAGAAGAAAAATTAATGTTAAGAAGACAGATTAGTGCTTAGTACTGGGCAACTTGTTCTTGTTCCTGTGCACAATGGTTTGTGCTCTTACTCTTGTTTGATTAAAATTAATAGCCTCTCTTTTCAAGTTAACCACTTGCCGTAACCATGGCACTGGTTCCAGTCAGTAAGTCAAGAAAGAATAGTCAAGGTATAGGCCAATAGTCTGGGACATTTCTGACTATTATTAAAAGTTAACTAAGCAGAAACAGCTCAAAGCAAAAAGCAAACTGAAAGGAAAAATGCTTGCTTATGCATAAGCCAAGATACATTCTTCTATTCTAATTGTGGCTACGTAATACTTTGTTTCTTTGAATAAGGATTCCTTTTTTGTAACCACAAAGTACTGTGAGCCTGCCAAAATGAAAAGTATATATGATGAACTTCACAAGTAAAGATTGGGATTCAGCACCTTCACTTTGGTGTCTGTGTTGTTTCTCCACCCCCTTTCGCCGACTCCTCACCATCCGTTCATCTCCTGAGACCCCCTGTTGGAGCTGGACTCCGACAAAGAATGTTTTCTCTAGGTGCTTCTGTGTCCTGTTTTTTCTTATTTCTGTTTTTCTTTTTTCCTTCTTTTCAGTTGCCTAATATCACTTCTACTTGAAAAATTCTGATGTTTTTATGATGCATTGAGGGAAAGGGAATATACCAAACTCCTCCAGGGTACCTTCAGAGAGTCCTATGACCCAGCACTATCTTGGGGAGGACTAGGGTAACCTAAGAGAGTCTGAGAGCATTTGCTTCAACTTTGTACTCCAAGTGACTCACTTTCCTTACCCTATTTCCAGCCCTCACCTGGCTCTGGCTGAAAGCTTTGTGGATTCCCCAGTACATTTCCAATCCATTACTTAATGAGTGAAGGACAGCTAAGAGTGCTGGTTCTTTCTTGCCAGGACTTTGCCACTAGTCTTTTCCTTAAAGCACACTCAAGAGTTTTTTTTTCCTTTAATTTTTAAAATATTTGTTTATTTATTTATTTACCTGTTTATTTATTTATTTATTGTAGTTGTAGATGGACAGCATGTCTTTACTTTATTTGTGTATTTTTTTATGTGGTGCTAAGAATCAGACCCAGGGCTTCCCACGTGCAAGACAAGTGCTCTGCCACTGAGCTACAGCCCCAGCCTGGTTTAAGAGGTCATTTTATAAGGGACTCTATTAACCATTTGAAATTCAATGAGTGATACTTGAAATTGGAAAATAGAGAAGAGGAAGAAGAAGAAAAAATGGAGAAGAGGAAGAAAAATCACATAATCCAAGGAAAGACAGGGAGTCATCCATTTCTGCCTTCTTTGGGTTTTTCTCCCCACCTCTCAGGGCAGGGTCAGCTGCAGTAAGTAGGCTCTGCTTGCCAGAGGAAGCATAGAGAAACAGTATCCCCCTTGCTCTGGATATTTAGAACATTTTCTATTTCAAATGTCTAATAATATGCACACCCTGCTCATTTTAGAAAGCATGGATTTCTCAGCAAATTACCAAGTGGTGTCTTCCTAGCAAATAGGGCTTCCTCTCACACTCTGTGCAGGCCCCAGTGAAGGGTGAGTGTTTCAACATATTTGAGCTACCTCCAAGTTCCTGAAAATCAACTTAGGCAACTGGTACCATTTTGACCTAACTGTCAGAGGTATTATCTAGAGTAAGGCTAGTGGGAATACATTGTTTTGCTATGTGATCTTGAAAACTTCATAACATTTTAAGTTAGTTAATTAATAACAGCAACTGAAACTACAGGGTTTATTCAGGTTTCTTGTCAGTCTTATTGATCAAATCAGATAATTTTACTTGCACATCTAAAATAGGGGCTCAAAAATTCCTTTAATATCTCCTTTCCATTCAACGAGGAAGACTCTTTATTATCAACTCAATCTCAGTCCTGTGTGGGGACATTGAACCCAGTTATGGAAAATACCAGATGGAACTCAAGCAAGCTTCTACTACCAAGTCAAGGGGAGAACCTCTTGTACTTTTCTAAATATTATTATCATTCTTATAATCTATGGTAATAATTACTATAAAATACAAGATAAATATCCACCAGTGGAAACCTGAAGATGTAACTATAGGGCATTTATAGTGGGGAGGACTTAGGGCAGCTCCCTTTGCAGAGAGTCCAGGGATACTATCAACATGGCTGAGCTCTACAGTGTGGCCACAATGGAAGACAGTGATAGGGACAGGCCTGGAAGAGAAATTGCTGTGTATGAGGCAGCAGTTCCCCTAGGGATTCTATCCAATTTATTACATATTTGGATGCCTCAAGCCAAACTTCTTAGTCTCTGACTCAGGTTGATAAGAGGAAAAGAGAGAGATGGGTAGAAGCCCAGTGATTCTAGAAAGTAGCCTCTATCTCTTGGAGAGTGCTCCGTAACAAAGTAGTCCCTGTTTTCCTTTTAAAACACTTTTTGGAATGGCTTTCATTTCTGGGTGATTGGAAAAAATTTCCTTTTCCTCATCTGAATCCTGGTGGTATAGAGTAAAATTATAACTGGAAAAAAAATGTGAGTGGCCTCTTTACGTGCTGGTCTTGCAAGCAGCCACTTCCTTCTCTTTCCAATGTGTTGCAGCTGACCTCTGAGTGGCTGAAGAGTGAGAAACAACATCTGCAAGAGAGGCATCACTGTAAGTGGTGCTTGCCCCAGCAGCACCCAAGCTTGGCAGGAGCCATGGGGATTCATACAATCTTACACCATCAAACAAATTGATCCCTTCACTCTGGCTCCAGTTTACCTACCCACTGAAGCCCAGTGTCTTTTCCAACTGCTACTGAAGAGAAATTACTGCTCCCTTGTTGTCTGGTAGCCTGTATTTCTTTTTTTTATATATTAAATACACATAACTTGCTGAGATTTTTTTTAATTTTTATTTTTTTTTTATTATTGGTTGTTCAAAACATTACATAGCTCTTGACATATCATATTTCATACATTTGATTCAAGTGGGTTATGAACTCCCATTTTTACCCCGTATACAGATTGCAGTATCACATCGGTTACACATCCAGTTTTCTATCACCTGAAAGATTGATTCATCTTGACCGTTATGGCTTGGAACCTAGACTTCCAATGACCACTACCAAGAACTCAGGTTGCTGAAATGGGACACCTGTCCAAGGGGCAATATACTGTCAAACAGTGTCCCTCGGTGAGTGATGCTGCTGAGGGAAGCACATACTCATTATCCCTGGATTTGCCCTCCTTTGTCTTCAGGGTTGTCCAGCAGCTCAGAGAGCTGTCATAGCTACCACAATTTTAGGAAACTCTCAAAGGCAGTGCTACATGACAGCAGTTATGAAGCTGCACAAAGTAGCACAAACACTAGCAAGCACTAAGAAATGACCATGTTTGGGGACAACAAAGTGGGACCCTATTTATTTATTTTTGAATTTTTTTTCTTACTTGCTTGTCTTTATAGACAGAGGTCATATTTATCCTGGAGAAACATTTTTTACTATATCTCATAAATTTGGTAGGGAATTTTTTTAAAGTTCTCACATTCAGGTCAAATGTCCACAGCCACAAAACCAAAGGCAAGAAAGAGTTCTTATTATTCTCCAAATGGGTTATTTGTGGTTACATAAAAGGAAGTATTTCAAGATTGTACTTTTATTTCTTGTAAGATCCTTTTTATTTTCTGTATCCAATATCTTTCTGAGGCCCAGGACTTCTAAAATACTTTTACTCATATTCCATTTTCAATCCTAAACACTCTGAGAGATTCTCACTTCCCATTCTAAGTACCCTAAAAATCTCTCTCCACCTATATTCCTACCCATGCCCAAACCAAAATCAGTAGACATTTCCCTTGGGAGGATTTCTTTTGAGCCTCTTTAGCTCTGAGATGATCAGCTATTACTCTGCTTTATTCATTTCGTTTTCCACGTTCTTGTGACTTGAACCTGCCTTTAAACCATCTTATTCTAGACCCTAGTGAACAATATCAGGGTAGAGGACAAGAGGCCTGAATAGAGGTGTCCAGTGCTCACTTCTCCTTCACATGGAAGAACCAGAGTATCAGATGTATAGCTGCATTTAGGGGCGAGTGACCATGGGAGAACACTGTAAATCAGCAAGAAAGAGAATGGGGTCTTGGAAGTTTCTGAGACCTAGAACAGTAGCATAATAAGAAAAAAAAACATATTTGGTGTCTGCCACCCTATTTCTATAGTCATGAGAAGAAGAATCTCTCTTCATAGGGGCAAGGGTAAATGACAGTCCCAACAAACTTTATTAGTGTGGATACTGGCAATCCTAACTACGGTTTCACAGTCACTCACATAAGTAACTTGAAGTCTGCACAGTAGCATTACTTTGGAAATTAATCTCACATCATCTCTCAGTGATCCCCCAGGGAGCTTAGCCAGAAAAGACATTGAGAAGTGGACTACTGTCTGAATTTGAATGTTTTAGGGATCTGAATTCCTGCATATTCCCACCTCTGCTACTATGCAGACATTCCCCTGCATTAGCTTGGGGGCTGTAGCTCCTCAGTGAACCCAGTAGACTTACTCTGACTCAATCCCACTAGATTCCCTGCACTGTAGGCATCAGGTGTTGTGACATGGAGG